ACAATGACGTGAATAAAATATGGAAGCCAAAACAGATAGAGTGAATTTGTTATCAAGGATACGATAGAATATACAATGTAAGCTTTATTTGTAATATATATATATACATATTATATGTACATAAAATAACGTACAATATATGTATATGCATGTAATATATATGTTAGTTTCATACTTTAGTTTGTACAAAATGTTCGAACATTATAAGCGTGTAGAATACGTATAGTATTAGCAGTGTAGAATGCGTATTCGAAAACCTATTCGAAAACCAAAACGAATCATCAATTGAAAATAGAAAAAAAAAGAAAAAAAAAATCTTTAGTCCCAGTTGGTAAAGGGCCGGCCCACGTGGCCAGGCCGGGGGGCCTCTTTAGCCCCGGTTGATATTACCACCTTTAGTCCAGGACGAGAAACTGGGACTAAAGGAGGGGCCCTTTAGTCCCGCATTCGTGCTCCCGGTTGGGTAACCGGGATTGAAGGGGGTTTCCCAACCGGAAATACAGCCCGTTTCTGTACTAGTGATAGGAGTCCTAATCCGAATCCGAATAGAAAAAAACTTCTATCTACTATTCATCTTTACACATATACACATACATATACATACACATAAATACTACATACATACACACCTAATAAAAAGTGTGAAGACTTATCGTTGTTAACTACTCGCTCGCCCTGCCTTTAGAGTCCGACACCCACGTCTGCGGAGTTCGCGTTGGATGCAGCTACCTTCCTACGAGGAAACGGCCGTAACTAAACAGAAGCGTGTACAATCCTGGCCACTTTGCCATTTATTTAATTGATGAAAAAGATCACGTACAAGCTCAAGTGCATGTGACATGCCAAGCCGATACATGAATCAAAGCCACCTCGCCTTACACGTCGGTGGCCTCGTCAGAGGGGGCCGGGGAGGTGGCCATCAAATGCGCAAATGCAATTCGGCTCCGGGAGCGGGCATAGCGACCGCGAGTTCCGCGGCAGTGGAGATCATCAGTCGCGTGCACCACCGAAAACCTCATCCCCCTCGTTGGCTACTGTATCCACGGCGATCAGCACTTGTCCCTCTACGAGTACGTGCCCAACAAGTCGCACGAGCCCCACCTGCTGCGTGGTACGTGAACGTGGCTGCTTATTGTACCTGGTTTCCATGGGGACCATGTGTGCATAGGCTTAGTTCTAAGTGTTGTGTCCAAAACAAATAAATACGATATTATGAGCTTCATCTCTAATTTTTTTCATCCATCTCTATCTCTAACTATACGTACAGTAGAGAGTTTCTCCGTTCCTTGTTTTTACTTCCTAAATGACACTCACGCCTTCCATATCTAGTATATTGTCCGGACTCATGACCCGTGCTTATACGAGTTAGAGTAACTCACGTCTAGCGATGATGGATACGGAGTCCGATTCTAAGACGTATTGTGTCACGCCCTCCGTGTTATTTTATGTGATCTAGACTCATGACCTATGCTCATATAAGTTAAAAGTAACTCAAATCTAGCGATTCTTGATATGGAGTCCAATTCCAAGACGTATTGAGTCACCTCTCTCCATATCTTGTACGTGAGCCGAATTCATGCCCTATGCTTATAAAAGTTAGAACAACTCGCGAGTCCGATTCTTACACTTATTAGGTTCCGTTGCACCACACGAGTAACTTATGTTTTTTTTTTTTTCGCCTTATTTTTTCCTCCACGTATGTTTCCTCTTTTCAGTCTTTTTCATTTGATCTCCTATTCCATTTTTTACAATTTTCCATAAATAATAACAAAAAGCAAATAATAAATTTTGAACTCTCGATTTTTCTAAGAAAAAAAATCCACCACCACTATGTTAATAGTTTAATTAGGAATAAATTTTATGTTATTATAAATGGTTCAGCTTTTGGTCTACCCAATCAAATTGTAAACACAAATCTTGATCAAATTGTTATCAGTCCAGTCTAAATAAATTTGTCTCTAAACGGTACATATGTGAAAGCTCTAGTTTGGTTTTGGTGAATTGATGAAACCCTAAGTGCTAACCTAGTTTATCAAATTGATTATGAGATAGGTGGTACATTCCAAGTGGTGGAGCAAATGAAGATCATGACATGATGATGGTGATACCATGGTGATGATCAAGTGCTTGGACTTGAAAAGAAGAAAGAGAGAAACAAAAGGCTCAAGGCAAAGGTATAAATGGTAGGAGCCATTTTCGTTTCGGTAATCAAGACACTTAGCGAGTGTGATCACATTTAGGTTCGATAGCCATACTATTAAGAGAAGTGAAACTCGTATCGAAATACGGTTATCAAAGTGCCACTAGATGTTCTAACTCATTGCATACACATTTAGGATCTAGTGGAGTGCTAACATCCTTTAAAATATTTGTGAAAATATGCTAACACATATGCACAAAGGTGATACACATTGTGTTTAGCACTTGGGAACAAGGGTTCAAAACTTCACCGGTGGAGTGTCCGCTCGTACAAAAAAGACAGAGTTTCACAGAGTGCACCGGACGCTGGTCATGTGGTGACCGAACTCTGGGGAGCAGCGTCTGATCAATTATAAAAGAAGGTGGTACTCTCGGCCTAAGATCGGGCACAGGTGACTGGACTCTGCCTGAACACTGTTCAGCGTCCGGTCCTGTTGATGTGGCGGCGCACAGAGAAGACGGTGAGTGACCAGACGTTGGGCGAATCCGGTCAGTCGCTGGCCTCAACTGGACAGGCGCGTCTGGTCAGTGGAAGTAGTGAAGACGCTGGCATCGGTCTTCAACCGGATGCTGGGTCACTTCGTGACTGTACGCGGAGTGGGTGCATCCGGTCCAGCTGACGTGGCAGCGTAGAGAAGAGGAGAAAGACTGGACGTTGTTGCTGCGTCCGATCGTGACTGATCGGACACGTTCGATCGTGAATTCCCACCTCTAGAACTTTACTGGAAGTGACCGGACGCTGGGGTCCTGCGTCGAGTCGTGATCAAACTGACGCGTCCGGTTGTGAATGGAACCTCTCTGGAAACGACCGGACTCGGCAAAGGTGCGTTTGGTCTTGGCATTGTGCTGTGTCTGGTCGTGACTTAACCGTTGAGATCGGACGCTCAACATTTGAAGAGAGGGATGACGTGGCAGCCATCCGTTAACCGGACGTTGGCAGGGTGTGTCCGGTCGACCTGACCGGCACGTTCGGTCGCCCCGAATTTTTAGTGAACAGAGGAGCCAACGGCTCTATTCGTGGGGGCTCTATTTAAGCCCCATGGCCGGCTTAAGTTCACTCTCTTGACCATTTGCATTGACATAGCAACCTTGTGAGCTTAGCCAAAGCCCTCCCACTCATCTCCATCATAGATTCATTATCTTTGTGAGATTGAGAGTGAATCCAAGTGTATTGCTTGAGTATTTGCATCTAAAGGCACTTGGTGTTTGCGTTTCGCTGTGGAATTCGCTTGTTACTCTTGGTGGTTGCCGCCACCTAGATGGCTTGGAGCAGCGAGGATCGTCGAGCGGAGGTTGGTGATTGTCTCCGGCTCCGATCGTGGTGATTGTGAGGGGTTTTTGACCTTTCCCCGGCGGAGAGCCAAAATGTACTCTAGTAAATTGCCCGTGGCTTGTGTGATCCTCATCTTATGTTGGTTGTGCGGCACCCTATTGAGGGTTTGGCGTGTGATGCCAATTAGCACGTGAACCTCCAAGTGAGTGAATCGCCACAACGAGGACTAACTTGCCGGCAAGCAAGGGAACCTCGGTAAAAAAATTATTGTGTCATTGATTGATTCTGATGTGATTAGGCTTCATTGGTATTCATTCTTGTAATTGATTGGTTCATTTATCGACTCGGCGGTATAACCATCTTACTCTCTCTCTTCACATTACCGTAAACTAGTTGTCAAGCTCTTTAGTATAACTAGTTGTGAGAGCTTGTTAGTTTGGTTAGTGTGGCTCTTTAATTAGCTTTTGAGAGCACACTAACTTAGTGTAGTAACATAGCCATTATGTGGATAGAGACTATATAAATTAAAATTGTGGTATGTGGGTTGTATTTTTAGTAGGCTAGCGCAATACTCGCTTCGCCTCATATTTGTCTAACTGGTTTGTCAAGTGTTGTTGTATAAATTTTTATAGGCTATTCACCTCCCTCTAGCCATTAGAACCTTTCAATATGCACTGTCCAATCCGGATGAGAGTTACCATATAAAAAATTGAGAGATGTCTCCCGTCGTAACTATTAGTGGACACACCAGTCATTTGATTATGAATTCACAAAGGAAGAAACTCGATATTTAACTATATCAGTATGAAAATGTCTTTGTACTTTGTAACAGAAGAAAAAAAAATCCAACAAGATTATATTTTAAATTTGATAAAGACTTAATAGGGCATCGTCATGTTATTGCTAACATTAGCTTATATTATGGATGTTATGATCATCACAAAATAAATTATAGCTTTTAAATTTTATAGAAATGATAAAACATAAATAAATATATACCATTCACGTTGTTGGTTTTTCATGAACGTTTGATAGTTTTTTTCTTCCGTTGCTATTTGCTAGTTAGTATCATTAGGTATGATAGATCGTTAAATCCATTTTCATAATAAATTGTTTAAAAATATAAATATTGTTAATATTTTCTATAAACTTAAGAAAGTTTTGTCGGCATGAATAACCTAACAACATTTATTGTGGGACTGGGAGTAGCTGAGTGTTTTTACAGAGGGATCCCATGACTACCAGCATAACATACGACCCCGTGAAATCTGTGTAATAAATCTTCCTCGGTTCTAAATTATAACATATTTTGATTTTTTTTAATCCATAGCTTTCGTTGATTTGGAATATGTCCGGATACAATGTATCTAGAAATGAAGGGAGTACCTACAAATCCATAAAAAAACGGTTGGTGACTGCCGTTACTACTCCGTACGTCGCTCCATCGCAGCCACACATATCGTATTCGGCTCTTCCCCCTGCTCCTTTAGCGAGGCCGGTGTTTTCTCTTTTCCTTCCTGCTGCGGCGATGGCGTCGGGTGATAACAGCAAGCAGAGGAGCGAGGAGGAGTGGCGCGCCGTCCTCTCCCCCGAGCAGTTCCGCATCCTCCGCCAGAAGGGCACCGAGTCAGTACTCTACCCCCCTCCTCCTTTTCCCTAAGCGACTGCCGCTAATGACGATTGATTTGTGGCTGGGGCTGCTGCTTATCTGTTGTTCATCTGATCTACTTCCCGTGCCCGTGGATCGATTCGATCCGATCGGATCCTGTTTGAGGTTCTTCGTAAGTCCGTTGTCTGATACTAGTGGCCGTCGACTTCGATGTCAGGACCCATGGCCACCGGTTAGTTGAGATTACTGATTACTGATATTTGAACCCGCCCTAGAGTTGCCGACGGAGGGATTCTACCTCCTCATTCAGATTGTTGTCCATCTAGTTCATCGAGGGTTGCGCCAAGTACTCTTGGATTTCGGTCTCAAATTATTCTCCAGTTTCAGTCTTCAAGTTGACTTCTGATATAGAATGAGTCTAGAGAAAAAAAAAAATGGCAACATGTTAGCCTTGTCATGCATCAAAGTTCAGACTTGACACTTGACTTGAAATATCCTTATGGTTCGATTTCTCATTTCTTAACATGATCGGGTCTCTTGGTTTAAGAGAAACACATGTAGTTGCTGCTCTGTTGACATGTGGATTTGAGCAATTCCAGTGCCCAAACTAAAATACTCCTTGTGTTACAAACTGTAAGTTTATTTTGGCTTTTCTAGATAGCGAATATCTGGGTGCATAGCAAAAGCTACGTACCTGAAAAGCCAAAATAACAACTTACAATTTGAAACGGGGTAAATATGATTCGCAGAGAGCATGAAACATTATCTTGTGTTGGAAGAGTACTGCTGATTGGCTGTACAGAGAGATTGGGGGTTGGTGGGGGGGGTGATAATATGGATCCAGCAGGATTTTAAATCTCTGGATAAAAGTGTTTGAGGAGGATTTAGCTGTTTGCTCCCATGTAGTACAATTTAGCCTCTATAGCCTGATTTTTTCGACGATTAGCTATTTGAGGAGGCAGATCGCTAGATGTCATGGCCTGTGATTTGAAATACTGATTGGAAGTAAAACACTTCCTCTGTATAATTTGGGTCCACTGTATGTTCATTGGAAAAAGCCCCTATTACTTAGCAAGGTTGGGCGTACAGTCTATTATACCTGCAGGCCATGTGCTAATCATCATTCCTCCTTATAAGAGTTGGTATACAGTCTACCATAACTTCCAGATCCAAGTGTCAGTCGGCTATAATTGGAATATCTTGTGGGTAAAATTATAGCACAATTTTGAACAGTCATTAGTAATTACCGCCTTTTTTTGATACGGGGAGATTCCCCATTTCCATTCAGCGAACGGAAATACTCAGAGTTAACAAGATCATAGAAGATTACAGAATGCGCTTAACCTCCAGCGCAAGAGGAGACTATGCTACTACCAGAAAAGAGTTTAACCAGGTGAGCTGACAGAAGAACTAAGAGTTTCTTAGCCTGCTGACAAACCAAGACGTTGAAAGAAAAACAGCAAGACTCTAATACAGAAGATAGCAGCACCACGCCAGAGAGACAACTATCAGACTAGAAAAGACTTTTCATTAACTACGCAGCTTCTTCTCCCACACAACAGCTCACCATATGGTTGAACATCACTTTTGTAACCTGAAACTTAGTTGTCCGAGGGTGGCGACATCTTGCTTCGCTTGGACGCCAGGATCTCCATGGCCACTTTTAGCATCGTGTTGACCCCGTTCTCCAGTGCCTCGTTGCCCATTTCTGCAAAGAGACCTATCCAAAATTTCATTAGGGCTCCAGCATGACAAACAATCTCCAAAGGATTTTTAATCAGCTTCTTATCGAAGCAAGCTTTATTCCTTGCTTTCCATATCGCCCAACAAATGGTTGCTTCCCCCCTGTCGGTGTTTCGAACCACCGGCTGGACACAAGGATTTATACTGGTTCGGGCGGAATGTCCCTACGTCAAGTATGCTGTTGCTCGTGTTACCGGCACTAGTTTGTAGTAGGGGTTACAAACGGGCGAGAGAGGGAGAAGGTCCCAGGTCTCTGGTGGAAGGATGGAAGGATTGAAAAGTGCTGAGAGTTTGTTCAGCCGCTCAGCCGTGTGCTCGTGTCCCTCCTATGGGGCATCCTGCTTCCCCTTTTATAGGTGAAGGGGAAGGCGCAGGTTGCAGAGAGAGAGAGAAAGAGAGAGAAAAGGAGAAAAGCGAGGGAGAAGAAGGCCTCCAGGGTCGCAGCGTCCTTCATCTCCTTTTATGCAGTCCTCTGCTGCTCCCAGATGATGATGAGGGGCGGCTCCACGTCATGCGCCCTGCTTTGTCACCGGTGCTATACGCAGTATCGTCACCGGTCGATGCCCTCCACTCCGCCTCCGGCGGCGGCGTGTGGTCAATGTGTACTCTGCTCGAAGCCGTATGGGGATTAGGCAAGACAGCCTGGCACGCCTGACATCATCTTCTTGCGACGTGAGCCCCCAGGTATGGTCCGTCGTGTCCACGGGTCACGTCGAGACGTGCCTGCTTCCCTCCCGGTGTCTGAAGTTTGACCCTGGGGTCGTACTCTTAGACCCGTAGTGGTTGGAGGCGGTATGGATCCCTGTCGGCGAGATGGAGCCCGCGCCCGAGGGTTCTGGCGAGACGGAGCCCGTGCCCTCGGGGTCGGGCGAGACCTTAAATACGTCTTGGACCATCCGGGCGAATTAACGTTCGTGACCGTTAACTTCCTTCCTCCGGGTATCTATAATATCGATAACCGACAGTAACCCCCGAGCCTGCGGAGGAGTAGAATACTCCTTTGGAGGCTTTTTTCAGGCGGGAGGACTCTGAGGGCCTCGGTCTCCCTTTGTAGCCCGTGGGGTGTCTTGGTAGGGTTGCGATTCCCTTCTGTCGCGATCGGACTCCTTGGGAACATGTAGCTACGGGATTCGGGGGGCCAGAAAAGATTTCTCTTGATTCCGATCCCTCCCTAGGATCCGATCAATCCGCCATCGTCATGCGACCGCGTACTCGGTCTCCTTGTGAGTTCAACTTCCCTCGAGCCCCCGCGCGTAGCAGGGTCCGGTCGAGGGGTCAGCTCATCTTGTGATCGTCATCCCTCAAGAGTTTTTTCAATAAAACGTAGGGGCGGAGTCGTGCCATGTTTTCCTCGATGGACGAATCATGGTGCTCGGTGAGCTGTTAACGGGCTAGTCCGAGTGGGGCCCCGGCTTCCCGTTCGCGGGGGTCCGGCATGAGTCAGTTGTTGACCGGCTCTAGATTCTTGGCGGCCAATCCATATAGTTCTTGGGTCTGTTCGATCGGTCCTAAGGGCTCGTTGCCTTTTTTTAAGGAAAACCATAGACTGTGAACCGACCAAGACTCGAACGTGGGCCGGGATGCCTGCGGCCCTCGTGCGCCCGGGTACTGGGCGCTAGCGGGCCCATCCCTTTCCACCCCTCACTGTAAAGGTGCCTCGGAGTGGTTGTGAACCCGTCGGTGGGCCAACCTTCGAACTCCTAGGCCTGAATGGGCCGTGGGAGCGTTCTCAGCTCCGTATCCCTCCTTACATGTGACGGTTATCGGCCTATCGAATAGGGTGAACCGTCATCCGGCGCGTCCTTCGAGGGAGCGGCCAGAGGTGGCGTGCGCACGATCTTCTGGCACAGGACTTATCTGCCAAGATAGAGGATGAGATCATAAAAGGGCGTACCTAGTGCAGAGAGCTTCCACTCTGTGCGGGGTCTAGGGAAGGGTGTTAGTGGCAAGCCCTACCCTCGCATGTGCAATGCGAGGAGACCGCGACTCGAACCCAGGACCTTCCGGTCATAGGCAGTAACTCTACCGCTTGCCCCAGACCCGCCCTTCAGAGGATGAGATCATCCCCGAAAAATTAGTTAGTTAGATAAACAAAGTGGTGGTCTTAGAGTAAATGAACAAGTTTTAGTTTGTTTGTGTTATAAAAAGGTTACTGCATTCCGATTCTTTTCTGTTGTTAAGGCTTCAAAGCTTAAGGCGCAGGCGAAAGAACCCTGATCACGCTGGTGAGCAAGAACGCCGTAGCCGCTGGGGCGTAGGTTTCTTGCAGTCCGACCAACTTTACTCAGTGTTCGTTTCCACAGCTCTCGCTTTTAGATCTTAACGTGATAAGGGGTCGGGCACAACGATTGTTTCTGAATAGGTATGCTCTTATCATCCCCTGAGTGAGGCCCGGTCCCGTGCCGTTGCTGGGGTCATGTGTCACTAAGGATCGAGGACGAGATAGCGAAAAAGAAAGCATTTTTGTATTTCAGAAACACCGTTCTTAGTTTTCATGGGTACACGCATATGCTAAGGATAAAAAGGACATAGCTGCTCGATGTTCCATGCGTTGACGAAGACCTTGCCGTCGATGGTCTTGCGTCAAGCTCCATGACCTTGAGGTCAGGGGAGCTGAGGGTTGGTCAACCCTCGAGCCTGGGGTTGGCGGTCTGTCACCAGTTCGTATGCTCCCCCTTATTGGAGCCACCGGACAGGAACCACTTCATGAGGGCACAGTCTTTGTATAGGTGCTTGACGGGGAAGGCATGGTTCGGGCATGGCCCTTCGAGCAGCTTCTCGAAGTGGTTCGGGGTACCCTCAGCGGGCTTCCAACCCCCATTGCGGTCGGCAGCGGCCACGAGCGAGCCCTCGACCGCTGCTTGCTTCTTCTTGTTGGGGTGGTTGGAGGCGCCTTCGCCGACGTCCTCGTCCTGCTTCGCCTTGCCCTTGGGACGGTCGAAAATCGCTCCGATCGCCTCCTCGCCCGAGGCGTGGCCGGTGGCGATGTTGAGCTCCTTGGTGGTTTGCGGGCCCTTAGCGTTCCAGCTTGTGAACCAGGGATTCGCAGGTGGTCCCGGACAGGAAGGCTCCTATAACGTCGGCGTCGGCGACGTCGGGCAGCTCGTTGCACTGCCGGGAGAAACGCCGGATGTACTCACGAAGAGTTTTCCTGGACTTCTGTCGGCAATTTTTGAGATCCCATGGGTTCCCAAGACACGTGTAGGTGCACTGAAAGTTTCCCACGAAAATCTCATGTAGGTCCGCCCAACTTTGAATCGGATTGGGCGGAAGGTGCTCCAACCATGTTCGCGTCGAATTGGCCAGGAACAATGGGAGGTTGCGGATAATGAAACTGTCACTATCCGCTCCACCGGCTTGACAAGCAAGTCGGTAATCCTCGAGCCACAGTCCGGGGTTCATTTCCTCAGAGTATTTCAGGATGTCGGTCGGCGGTCGGTACCGCGGTGGGAAGGCGGCGTTGAGGATGTATCGGCCGAAGGCCTGAGGTCCTGGCAGGTCGGGGCTCGGGCTCCGGTCCTCGCCGCTGTCGTAGCGTCTGCCACGACGAGGGTGGTAGCCGTGGTCGGCTTCCTTTCTCTCGTCGCTTCGTCCACGCCTACGGGCATTCAGGGTGTTACGTGCGACGTTCATGCACCGGGGCCACGGCGCGCCCCCCTTCGCCGCGCGACACTTGGTGGACAGACACGTCCCCGACATGTCGTCCCGAGGGTGCGCGCTGACTGGCGTCGAGCTCGCGTCGCCGAGACAGCGAGCTCTCTGCCTGCTGCACCGCCGTGCGCTCGAGCAGCGTGCGGATCTCTCGATGGGTCCGACGATCCTCCGGGAGCCTTCGGAGTAAGGCCGCCACGGCAGCGATGTTCTGGCTTGTCCAGACAAATTGTGGGAGGGCTCCATCGTCTTCGATGATCCTCCGGTTCACGTCGCGGGCCATGGCGCGCGCACGCCCACCGTCTTCGCGGCGCTCGATCTCTTGCTCGAGCTCTGCGCGTTCCTGCTTGAGTTGGAGTCGTGCATCCTCGAGCTCCTGGTGCCGCGCCCTTAGTTGTTCCACCCGCATGCGAGGAAGGGCCCCTGCATCTTCCTCGACCTCGTCGTCGAGGTCGTTTGGTGAGGTAGCCCCTTCCTCGTGGACGCTTTCGACGCGTCCCTCAGGGGTACCTACCATAAAACATTCTCGCGAGAGGTGATGGCTCCCCCTTCTGGAGTCAGAGTCGGGGAGCGACTCCAAATCTCCCACGAGAAGGTCGTGGAAAGATTCCGCGACGTATTCGGTCATCCCCACGAACTCGTCGTTTGTAGGGGATGGGTATATTCGCTGCGCGACGAGGTGGCCAACGGTCCACGCAGCATTGCGCAGACCTAACGGGAACGCTGCCGGGGCGCCTCGGGTGAGGTGTTGAGGGGAGAGCGGTTCCCCTCCTGCGAGTTGCATCATGGCGTTGGTGAAGGAGAAAGTAAGGGAGCGCAGCTCCTCTCGGGACGGTCGGGGTCCTAGGAAGGCGTCGAGTTGGCGCTCCAGCTTCCCGTAGTCGAAGCCGAGGAGCCAGTCGCTCCTGGGCACACGGGCCTCCGACGCGTGCAGCTGCAACTCCTCAATCACCTCGACGATCGCGTCGAGGCCGGTGGAGTGGAGAGGCTGGACGGCGGCGGGAGCCTGCGCCAACTCTCCCTCCGCAGTGACGATGAAGTCCAGGCTCCCGAAGCCCACGTGCGTGCCCGGGACCCAGCTGACGCCGTGACTAGCCATCCGAGGCCTGATGTGGACGTCGAGACGCGCAAAAAGTCCCTACCTGGCGCGCCAACTGTCGGTGTTTTGAATCACCGGCTAGTAAATTTGTATCTGCGTGTCTGGCCCGGATGGTGTGCTCGGAGGACACAAGGATTTATACTAGTTCGAGTAGAATGTCCCTACGTCCAGTCTGCTGCTGCTCGTGTTGCCGGCACCAGTTTGTTGTAGGGGTTACAAATGGGCAAGAGAGGGAGAAGGTCCCAAGTCTCTGGTGGAAGTTTTGAAAAGTGCTGAGAGTTTGTTTAGCCACTCAGCCGTGTGCTCGTGTCCCTCCCATGGGCGTCCTGCTTCCCCTTTTATAGGTGAAGGGGGAGGCGCTGTCTGGCCCGGATGGTGTGCTCGGAGGACACAAGGATTTATACTGGTTCGCGTAGAATGTCCTTACGTCCAGTCTGCTGCTGCTCGTGTTGCCGGCACCAGTTTGTTGTAGGGGTTACAAACGGGCAAGAGAGGGAGAAGGTCCCAAGTCTCTGGTGGAAGTTTTGAAAAGTGCTGAGAGTTTGTTTAGCCACTCAGCCGTGTGCTCGTGTCCCTCCCATGGGCGTCCTGCTTCCCCTTTTATAGGTGAAGGGGGAGGCGCAGATTACAGAGAGAGAAAAGGAGAAAAGCGAGGGAGAAGAAGGCCTCTAGGGTCGCGGCGTCCTTCATCTCCTTTATGCTGGTCCGGCCGGTCCTGTAGATGATGATGGTGACGGCTCCATGTCGCGGCCCTGTTCGTCACTGGCGCTATACGCAGGTGTCGTCAGCCGGTCGCGGCGCTCCACTCCGTTCCGGCGGGCGGCGTGGTCAACAGGTACTCCTGTCAGAAGCCGTACGGAGATTAGGTAGCACAGCGCCGGTACACCCGATACTGCTGTCTCGAGGGAGCCATTTATCTAGCCATGCCCAACAATGAGAAAGATTTACAGGAATGTCGTCAGCTCTTAGACATTTAGCAACACAAGCCCATACAGCCCGAGCAACAGCACATGTATAGAAGAGGTGATCAATAGATTCATGTCGATCACAGAAATAGCATTCAGGATTACTATTCCATTTCCTACTTAACATGTTGTCTTTGGTAAGAATTGCCTCATTTTTCATTAGACACATGAAAAATTTAATCTTAGCAGGGATCTTCCCTTTCCAGATGTGTTTGTAATGATATCCAGAATCTTCATTAGTTAAGCACTCATAGACTGAATTGACAGTAAAATTACCATTCTTAGCAAATTTCCAGCCAATTTTATCAGAATTGTCAGATAATTGGAATTTCTCCACCTCGGCCCAAATCATATCCCATATTTTTTGCCAATCAGTAGGTAACCACCTCCTGAAGGTGATTCTGGTCTCACCACTTTTGGTAATTAATTATTAGTAATTACCACCTGTATAACAAACATTTACAAATTTCAAATTGTGATGCTGTTTTGTGAGCTGTAGCCTCTATCAGAAGAGTGGAGTAATTACAGGTGATCTTTCGTACGTGTGTGTGTGTGTGTGTGTGTGTGTGACTGTGAATGGTTTATTAAGCTCTTAAGGCTATGTTGAGTCATGAATTCTCAATTAATAAAGTTTTAAAAGGAATAAACTAAATCTATATTGCTAGAAATCATATATTGGCAATTCCAGTACCGTACTTTCTGTTACCTTGGAGGCTTGGACCTTGATTCAGGAAAATAATATCATAGCTGTCACTTGACATGTAAATGGTCCTATAATAATAAAACATATGTTCTCAAGCTAGGCTCATATTCATGTCCAGGTTACCTGGGACAGGAGAGTACAACAAATTCTATGGCGATGGGGTTTATAACTGTGCTGGCTGCGGGACTCCCCTGTACAAGTCCACCACAAAATTTGATTCTGGCTGTGGCTGGCCTGCATTCTTTGAGGGGCTTCCAGGAGCCATAAACCGAACAGTAAGCCTCAGTAGCCGTTAATTTGATCTCTTACATCCCCTCCTTTTTCTGTTTCAAATGTGTATATTTCATTGTTTCAGCCGGATCCTGATGGTAGGAGGGTAGAGATCACATGTGCAGCTTGCGGTGGGCATTTAGGCCATGTGTTCAAGGGAGAAGGCTTCAAGACACCTACTGATGAGCGCCACTGTGTGAACAGTGTTTCTATCAAGTTCAGTCTAGCTCCTAGATCATCTTCCCCTAGATGAGATTCTCGTGTCTGGAACTGTGGGAAGCACAGCAAAACGACGAATAAGATCTATTCAGCATATGTGTTACTCTGATTGAGAGATGAATCTATTATCATAATCAGTTGTTACTCTACGTGATTTGTCATTTACATCAGCTGTTGTAATGTTTTCATGAAAGTTATCCTGATGTTGCTTTGTCCATTTATTTTCCTAGAATGTTGAGGCCCTGTTTGCATCCGCTGGGCTAAACTTTAGCCCATTTAGCTCTAGGCTAAAGTTTAGTTGGGGGTTGTTTGGATCCAGGCTAAAGATTAGCCTCTTACCCTACACCCCTTACCCTACAATGACCAATTTATCCTTAATTTATTACTCATGCACAACCATGTGTCGGGGTGGAGGGGGTAATATGAGTCTTTTATCCTACATGACTACTTTTAGCTCTCTTTAAACCACCTTGAAGGGGCTAATAGAAAATGAGTGGGCTCAAGTTTAACCTCCATAGAAGGCTAAAAGTGACTAAAAGAAGTGAGCTAAACTTTAGCCCCATTAATCCAAATAGAGCACAAGTCAGTCGGATAGATGTGAATTGTGATCATTACTCGGCAAATGAACCCATGCTCTGGAAGTCTGAACAAGCCTGACGGACATTTGGCTTTTAACTCGTTTCCACTGAGGGTTTGTTTGAAATGCAAGTCATGTTCTCGAAAAAAAAATGCAGAAATTTTATAGGAATCCTATAGGAATTTTACACATATCAATTCAATTTAACAAGAAAAATACAGTAATAAAAGAATTTTTCTGCGTTCCAAGTAGGCCCTAAAATGCACAACTGCATATCCACCATCGGTCGCACTCGCAGGCCGGCTCGCAGGCCGAGCCATTGCCTTCGTTGAAGCATGGTGTCGGGCTCACACTGGCTGTCGCGGTCACGCCTACCACTGTCTTGCAGCCTGCGATCCAACTGTCCGATCCTTTCTTCTGTTCGAGCAGCTACAACATCAGACCAGATCGATGAATGAAGTATCGGTAATGCTCGGCCACCTCCGTCCGGATGCGGCTCTCAGGCCTGCGCAGCGGACTGGCCCTCATCTCTCTCAAAAGAAATCCTCACTCCACCTCACAAAAGCACATACCGAGACGAAAAGGCATTCCCAAGTCCGAAGAAACGACTCCGCCGCCACCGCATGACTTGCAACTCGCGCCAGCTAGGCTGATCTCCGCCGATTGTTGCTACCTTTCTCTTCTTTGTTCGGACCCGGCGACAGGCATCCCTCCTCCATCAGCTGTAGGCAGTAACGACTCCTAACACCGCCGCTGCACCTGCATCTCGCGCTAGCCGGGCTGATTCCTCCCCGCCGCACCCCCATCCCCTGCGAGCGGACAGCGCTGGACGATTGCGGTCGAAGCGAGCAGGGCGCTGGAGCAGCAACAGCGGGGCCGCACCAACGGGGCTAGCCTAGGCCACGAGCGGGCGCGGGAGAATCGCAGGAGGAGCGACTGGCCACGCCGATGGGCGCGAGCGGAAGGAGCGATGTCCCCTTGACCCGAGCTTGCTGGCTACCGCAGTTCCTCACCAGGTAGGCCGTCGTCGCCTGCGACGCCGTGTTTCAGGCGTTTCAGACTTATGTTTCAAGTATTTCGTGTGGATGTTGCAAAGTAGATATGAGATGTTGCATATGTTGCAATAACAATATATGTATGCTGCAATAACAATATATGTATGTTGCAAGCCTATGTTTTAAGTGTTTCATCTGGATGTTGCATATGTTGCTATGACTATACACATATGTTTCGAGTGTTTCAGACTTATGTTACATGTGTTTCATTTTAATGTTGCAAAAGGAGATCTGGATGTTGCATATGTTTTTATGGCTATACATGCATGTTTCAAGCGCATGTTTCAAGTGTTTCATCTGTCTTCAAACGTATGTTGCAAGTGTTGCATCTGGATATTTTAAATGTAGATAGGGTGTTGCACATGGGATGCATGTGGAAAACGGGAAGGGGCGCCAACGGTCCCACGGGGCACGGGACCCTAGGCATGGGCGGGGGGCGCGGAGTGCAGGAGCGCGCCGGGGAAATGAATCGGCCCGGTCCACCGTACCGTCCAACGGATCAATTTCTGATAAGACGTCCGAGCGCCAGCGGTTCTTTTTTCTTAAGGAGATGAGGGACTTATAAATTTGAAGCGATTTTAAGGGTTTCTTTTCTGATCCAATCATCTTTTCATCATTTGTTTGGGAGTTAGATTCCTAACACCCAATAGTGGCACCAAGTCAGGAGAGGAGATGCGAGAGCGTTCATAACTTTGGAGGGATGTATGTAGCTCAACAAATGGCCAAGGAACCTCCCACGTAACAGTTCTATCTGCGTCACATGGCGGTCCCACTGCCACGGGGCACGGATGATGGCGCCGCACCGTCTGCCACGGCCTACGGCCCTGTTTTTCTATTAATTATAATTAACTATCATTATATGGAGCCTCTCGTCAGGGATGAAGTAGCTTCATATGTTAATTAAGCAGCCTGATGGTGTCAGTCATGTGTGACACGGGATGCTTGCGTGTTAGTAATTTTGCTGCTTGCGTTTGCGTTTGCGTCGGAGGATAGCAACATGCAGTCTTCCTATCTTGGCCAGCGCTAGGGTCAGGTGAGTTATATTAAGATTAAGGCACAATAGTTATTTTGGTCCATCAACTATTATTCGAGACTCAATTTCATTCCTAAATTTTTAAAATGGCCGTTTAGGTCCTCAAACTTTAGTTTTAGGATCAATTTCATCCTACAACCATGAAGATGATCGTTTTAGTCCTCAAACTTTACATTTTAGGATCAATTTCATCCATAAACTATTAAAGTGCATTTAACTTTTATTTTCAACTCAATTTTGTCTATTCCAAAAGAGAACCTTATATTTTAGGCTCAATTTCATCCATAAATTATCAAAATTATAGATCTGCTATTATTTCAATATATTCATGTATTCTTAATGAATAAATAGTGTTCAATGTAGCTGTAATTGCTCCCGTAATATCATTTAGTCGGATATATATAAATTGTACCATTATAAGGTAACACTAAAAATAACAGCTTGGAATTATTAATAACCACGAAAGAGTTTTTGGATGAATATTATTTTTCTATCTCCAATCACTGATGGTGTTCGAGCTAACCAGGTGCAACAATACAACGTTACATGTAGAACGTAGACAACGTTGTGTTGAAAATAAAAGTTTAAAGAACAAAATACACTTTGATAGTTTATAAATGAAATAAGCCCAAAATGCAAAGTTCGAAGACTAAAATGATCATCTTCATAGTTTTAGATGAAATTGAGCCTAAAAGTAGAGTTTAAGGACTAAAACGGTCGTTTTAAAAAATCAGGGCCTCGAGAAATAGTTGAGGGACTAAAATAGCTATTGTGCCTAAAATTAACATAACATTTTATAAAATGGCCCAGTCGGCCAACCATTTTTTCATATAATTTTAGTTGCGGCGGCTTTGTGGTCGCACTCGCAAGTCGGATCAGCGACGTCAATCAACTTGGCAGTAGGCATGTTGTTTTTTTTAAAAAAAATTAGGACCTATGCCTAGTATTGTCTCCAAAATTAGCGCTAACTTGATGCCGATGGCAGTAGCGTATATTTATTTTTAAAATTAAGACTGAGACTTGACTGTGTAGTCCTGTTTCTAAAATTATAGTGCTATAATAATTGTTGGATGACGTTGGCCGTAGTATTTTTTTCTTTAGTTTATGTAGTAGCTCATCCCGCGTCCGTTGGAAAGAAAAAAACAAGTTGGCTTCTTCCCATTGCAGTTAGGAGTATTTCCCTTTGGGAATATGAGCCTACTCCGTAGGCCCTTCGGCATCTCTGACCCCTTCCGGTGCTTTGTACTCGCACTACCGGCCGGCAAAGATACCAGAGTAGGCCCAACCCAGGTGATGCTAATACGGGCGTCCTCGACAGTGCCACTTCAGCTAGCTTAAATAATCCATGTCATCACTTTTCTGATATAGAAAAGAGAAGGTGAAAAAGAGAAGAGACCATCTCATAAAGGACGAGAGAAGGAGGCGAAAAGATATAGAATAAAAAAATATTTATATATGGGGTATATATAATGAGGTGGTAACTGTTCAGAACACCCTACGAGAACACAGCTGGCGGATGCCAGGGAATTGTACGGGAGGTCCTGATGATAGGACAGGTTTTAAAACGTGCGTCGCACGGCGAAGAGTCAATATATTCTAAATTTGACTAAATATATAAAAAATATTAATATTTATGATCTCAAATAAATATTATTATATAAAGTACATCATATATTTTTCTAAAAATCTAGTTAAATTTGAGAATGTTTAACTATGGAAATGCAAGATATTTACTTATTTGGGACAAAGGGAATATGTTTATCGCTTAGTCATTCATCCTTACTATCCTCTGCCCCAAGCCCCCAACTTTGCTATCTCCGCTCTTCCAATTCGACTCCATTGTTTACAGCATGTTGCATGTGCTCTATTTTCAACCGTGTGCTCACAAAGGACGCCACGTGCAGCTGTGGGTCTCCGTCTAGCATCATCTAGTACCCTCACTAAGGGCTCATTCGGTTGTATGGGATTGCTTCCGTTTATGGGCCGCATAGCCAACCATAATGACTGCCTCCTATCCGCTCGTCTTGTCCAGCTTATCCACTCGTCCAGCTGAGTCACCGTAGCTTCTGAGAAGAAAACACCATAGGTCCACAGGCAGCAAGGACTCAATGCAGTTGTATGTACTTTCTGATCATATGGCGGGTCCTGTTTTGGCGAGTGGCGTTAAGTCAATTAAGGGCATATGATCCAGAAGGAGAGAATCTTTGTATGCATGGGAACAAGAAGGGGCAAGTGAAATATATGCGCACGGCCACGGCGGGCATTTGAAGCTCGCCCGCAAACTCATTGTATTGTAGCTGGGAGAGCCTGCCAACACATCGTGCTCATTCTTCAGATCAAAAATAGCCCATTAGATTTGCTATGGCGGTGGAACTTCGCCCACCAGAAATTTGAGCTTATACATGCAGCTCCAAGTAACGCCCTCGACAAGATATTGAACTCGACCACGCATCTATGGGGTGCCCAATGACTCGCACTCCACCTGCACAATGTGGAGACCCGCCGCGGCCATCTCCATCGGACCTGCCATGGTCTTCCCAATCGGAGCGCACAATCTCTGCCTCCTATGTTCCTCGTCTGATCCAGAACTGTCCATCTTGATCACTAGTATTTACACCGGTGAACTCCACACGCGACGAGCTTCTATCTCTCAAGCAGCAAGAAGATGTTGCGCTGAAACTGCATGTTGCAAGAGTATGTTTCAAGTGTTTCAGATATTTCAGAGGTATGTTGCAAGTGTTTCGTATAGATGTTGCAAAAGTAGACCGGGATATTATATATGTTGCAATGGTTGTACACGTATCACAACCGGAAATGTCAAATTTGCCGAGTGTTTTTCTGTTTGCTGAGTGTATTCCCTCGGGCATTCGACGAACAAGTTCTTTGCTGAGTGCTGAACTAAAAACACTTGGCAAAAAAAAAACTCGGCAAAGGGAGGTTTGCTGAGTGTAAAAAAAACACTCGGTAAAAAGGGCGTTTGCCGAGTGTTTTTTTTTTGCACTCGATAAAGAAATAAAATCTTTTTTTCTAGGAAATAACGAGAAGAAAAAAATAATAAAAAAACTTTGCCGAGTGCCCAGATCCAGGACACTCGGCAAAGGAAAAAAATCTACTTAATTTTGGATCCGCCCGCTGCCTCTCTCCTCCTCCTACGCCCTTTCTCTCCCCCGCGCCCTCCCTTTTCTCTCTCTCTCCTCCTCCCTCCCAGAGCGCCCGCGCCCTCTTTCTCCTCCTCTCCTCCTCCTCCCCCCAGCCCTCCCTCTCTCTCTCTCTCCTCCCAGGCCCTCCCTCCTCCTCCGTCCCGGCCCTTGATCCTCTCGCCTCCTCTTGGAAGATTGAACTCCCCATCTCCTCCTCCCCAGGCCTTCGCGCCCTCTCTCTCCCTCCTCCCTCCCCAGCTTAGATCCATCCCGGCCGATCCGCCCCCCTCCCTCTCCCGGCGTGGAAGGCCTTCCTCTCTGGCATGGCGGCATGGCGCTCCTCCTCCACCGCCTCCACCAGATCTGCCCCTCGGCGGGGATCCCGGTGACACTGGTGGCGGCGCGCCGGGAGGCGGATTCGGCCCCGGCGGGCGGACGGATCTAGCACGCCGCTCACGCCCTCCTCCTCTTCCCGCACGGCACCTCTCCTCTTCCTCTCCCTCAGTGCGGCGCCCCCTCCCTTTCTCGGGGTGGCGCCCTCCCCCTTTCTCTCTCGGCATGGCGACGCTCCCCCTGCCTCTCCCTTTCCCAGCGGCGGAACTACCGGCGGCGCTCCTCCACCTCCTCCACCAGATCCAGCCCCGCGCGGGCGGATCCAACGACGGTGGCGCACGGGGAGCCCGGATCCGGCCTCGGTGCGGGCGGAGACGGATCTAGCGACGGTGGCGCACGGGGAGGCCGGATCCGGCCTGGGCGTGGTGGTGGCCTAGGCGTGGTGGTGGTGCGGCGTGGTGGCGGCGCGGCGTGGTGGGCCTGGGCTTGTTTTTTTTATTTTTTCTGAAAAATTGTTTGCCGAGTGTTTTTTGGGCACTCGACAAAGTCCGTCCGACAAAAAGCACTTGGCAAAGTTAGTTTGCCAAGAGAATTTTTGTCGTGTGCCCTTTGCGGGGTTTGCGGAGTGTTTTAGTTTATTTGTCGTGTGCCATAGGCACACGGCAAAGCTCCCGTTCCCGTAGTGTATGTTGCAAATATGTTTATCTGGACGCTGCATATGTTTCAGACATATGTTATAAGTGTTTTATCTCGATGTGTGCATATATTTTTAATGATTTTTAAGTGTTTTTCAGGTGTTTTTGCTAGTGTTTCAAACGCACGTTGCAAGTGTTTTAACTATTTCTTTTGTATGTTGCAATTATTGCATCAGGATATTTTAAAAGTAGATCGGATGTTGTATCTTTCTCTCTCGTCTTTTGCTGCCTCCCCTTGATGTCTTCTCTTTCGATGATGGTGATGTTTGAGCGGCGTGGGCCCCGCATGGGGAAGGCGGCATGGTTGAGGCGAGTCGGTCGAACGGCGCGGAATCCAAGCGGACGGGGCGCACGGCACAAAGCAGGCATTGGGCGGTGGGAGATGCGTCCGGACACGGGCCTAGGTACGGACTGTCTATATAAATCGCCCCGTTCTTGTATGCACAGAGGAAAAGAAAAGAATAAGCGCATCCCAGCTACGTTCCGATGGAGACGGAACTGGTCTTTTTCCTGGCCGTTGTGCTCGCGACCGCTCTTCTAGTCGGCACCATCCTCCGACGCAAACGCAGCTCCAGCTCCAGCTCCACCCGCGAGTACAGGCTCCCACCAGGCCCTCGGCCGTGGCCCGTGATCGGCAACCTCAACCTGATCGGTTCGCTCCCGCACCGCTCCATCCACGCGCTCTCGGCGCGGTACGGCCCGTTCATGTCCCTCCGCTTCGGCTCCGTCCCCGTCGTCGTCGGCTCGTCCGTGGACGCGGCCAGGTTCTTCCTCAGGACCAACGACGCGTCGTTCATCGACCGCCCCAAGATGGCGTCCGGGAAGCACACCGCCTACGACTACTCCGACATCGTCTGGTCGCCCTACGGCGCGTACTGGCGCCAGGCGCGCAAGCTGTGGAAGGCCAACCTCTTCAACGACAGGCAGCTCAGGTCCCAGGAGCACGTCCGCAGCGAGGAGCTACGCGTGCTCCTGCGCGACCTGCGTGCCCTGTCACTGTCCTCCTCCGCGTCCGCGGGGCGCGGCCAGGTCGTCGCGCTCAAGGAGCATCTGCTCATGCTGAGCCTCAACGTGATCTCGCGCATGGCGCTGGGCGGCAAGTACGTCGGCGAGGGCACCGCTGGCTCGCCGATCTCGCCGGCCGAGTTCAGGTGGATGGTCGACGAGCTCTTTCTCCTCAACGGCGTGTTCTGCATCGGGGACTTCATCCCGTGGCTCAGCTGGCTGGACCTTCAGGGCTACGTCGGGAGGATGAAGAGGCTGGGCAAGATGTTCGACCGCTTCTTGGAGCACGTGGTGGACGAGCACAGCCAGCGACGCCGGCGAGAGGGCGACAAGTTCGTCGCCGCGGACATGGTGGACCTGCTGCTGGAGCTCGCCGACGACCCCAAACTCGAGGTCCCCATCAAACGGGATGGCGTCAAGGGATTCGCTCTGGTAAGTAAGACACTAAAACTGGAGGTGGAGCCGTGGAGGCTTATACTAATACTAATTCACCCCTTCGATACTAGCTGAACGATTTAATTACAAGATTAATTAAACTTAATATAACAAGCAAAGCAACACATGAGGATTGTTATTCGTTCACAACATCACTAAAAATTCTAAAAACAAAATAACAAAGGACCAAACTATGTGTAATAACAACCGTGAGTTATTGGTCACATGGCAAATAAACATAACTAGCATATATCACTAGTGTAGAACTGAGCTACAGTCCCGGTTACTATTCCTGGTTTCTCAACCGAGACTGCAATCCGGGACTAAAATTAAAACCTGTCATTTAGTCCCGGGTCAATCAACCGGGAGTGAAATGGGACATTTGGTCCCGGTTGGTTACACGAACCGGAACTAAATGTCTTTTTCTTTTCTTTTTCGTTTAGTCCGTTTTCATTTCAAATAGTTCTTTGTGTACGTATTATATGCTACTATTGTACGTCCATAAATAAGAAATAAGAATGAAACTAGTTAACAAGAGTTCGTGTGTTACATTGAGATCAGTCATATTCATCAAGTTAATACAAATCATAATTGTTTAAACCAAGTCAATACAAACTAGATGTTCAAGTACACACCAAAGTTTATGCAAACATAAGTAGATCATCAAGTTTGACTAAAGTCGTACTATGAACTTGGCGTAGTGTTGGTCACCGATGTAGTATGATAAAATAGCATTGACGTAGAGCAACGCATTAAGCAGTGCACTCTCCCTTGCTTCATAAGTACGAGCACATGGTCTACTAACGACGATTAGCGGTGGTCGGGAAATGGGTGGGTTAGATCCCCTCTTAGTCACAAACAACTTGTCTTGAAATCCTTCATTAGCGAGTGTTGGCCTTTCAGCAGCATATTTCCTGAAATCGAGTTGTGTAGGGTGTTCTAGTTTGAAAAGATGGTTCCTACTTAGGTCAAGGGGTGGCATTGTGATATTTCCTCCTCGATGAAATTGTAAATTTCTTCAGTTTGGCCTGAAAAAAGTTTCTGTGGATGTTATATAGATTAGTAGGGGCCAATTGTTTGAAAGAAGTTTTTTATTTTCAAAAAAATATTAAAAATCTTGTTTGATCTCTAAACCTTTATAATTAATTTATTTGAAATAAAAAATATGGAACTAGCTGCAGTTCTTTTAAAAATGTTATCTATCTACTGATGCTCTATTTAGAGTTATTGGGATCATATTTGTTTTAAATAAATGATAGTCCGACTACAAACAATAAATTAATTAATAGAAACAGAAAGAAAACTATTTTCAAATAACTATATATAGATCATAAACATGTAGATAACATTTTTAAAATAAAAGTTGACACTAGCTGCGTACTTTTCTAATTTATAAAAATATAAATTTTGAGAGGTCAAACCGTTTTTTTATTATATTTAGAAAATAGAAAACCACCTATGAAACAGAGGACCAAACATATGTGGCAAATTTGGACAGTTAGAAGGTGCCCGTTATCTATTGGCATTGCAGTTCAGTTGAAAATCAGACTTGAAGGTTATTAAAAGATATAATATACTTTGCCCTTTTTAAAATAAAGAACCTCTGATGTGACGAATACGCATGCAGGACCTCGTCGCTGGCGGAACGGACTCCTCAGCGGTGACCATCGAATGGGCCATGTCGGAGCTCCTGAGGAATCCCGATGTGCTCACGAAGGCCACCGAGGAGCTGGACAGCGTCATCGGCTGCGAACGCCTTGTCATGGAGGGGGACATTCCGAACCTGTCGTACCTGGATGCCATCGTGAAGGAGACCTTCCGTTTGCACCCCGTGACACCGCTGCTGGCGCCGCGGCTGTGTCGCGAGGACGCGTCCACGGGCAGCTACGACATCCCGCGGGGCACGCTCGTGTTCGTGAACGTCTGGACCATCGGCCGCGACCCTGCCGTGTGGGGCGGCGACGCGGAGGAGTTCCGCCCGGAGAGGTTCGTCGGCAGCGGCGTGGACGTGAAGGGGCAGGACCTGGAGCTGCTGCCGTTCGGGTCCGGCCGCCGGATGTGCCCGGGCTACGTCCTCGGACTCAAGATGGTGCAGGTGACCCTGGCCAACCTGCTGCACGCCTTCGCGTGGCGGCTGCCGGATGGCGTGGCGCCGGAGAAGCTGAGCATGCAGGAGAAATTCGGACTGGCCGTTCCGCGCTTGGTCCCTCTCGAGGCCGTCGCCGTGCCCAGGCTGCCAGCACACCTCTACGCCGGGCACTGATGGATGTCTCTGCCCGTCTGCCATAGTGCCCAGTAGGGAAGGTAGGGCGTGTTTGGTTAAGCGCGTGTTTACACTCCAAAATCTTAAAAAGTGCTACAGTACTTTTTGAAAATTAAATATGTACAAAAAAAAACTAATTACACTGTTGTGAAATTACGCATGGTTTTATAATTAGTCCATGTTTGAACACTAATTACCAAATAAAAACGAAGGTTTTCGAATAAATTCTTTTTACCTAAGATGTACTTTTTTGAAAAGCTGTTGTGAGCATAGTTTTATTTTTCGGCCGAAATCTCCTGATATTTCCGATATATCCTTTTTATCCGTAGGGGCTGATAAGAAAATATATATCCTTTTTATATAAATTTTGTTTAAGTTTATTTAAATTTACTTAAATTCAAATTAAATTTTATTTGAATTTGGTCTAATATTTTCGATATATCCTGTTTGTCCTCTTTATCTGTGAATCCCCATAAATTTTAATTTCCGAAAATAAAAACCTTGGTTGTGAGTTGTGTGATATGAAAAAACAGGCATGAAAAAAGTAGAAGACTGTTCGGTGAAACAACCGTTGCTTTTGAAAAACACCTACAAGCAGACTACATATCATTTGTAATCCACCTCACTCAACTCTCTCCCTCTCTCACTAACTAACGGACCTCACTGGTCATCTTCTTTCTTCCTATCTCTCACCGACGAGCACACGCCACCCATCCTCCATCTGCTAGAGCGCCAGGGCCGGGGCTGGGGCTGAGGCTGGGGCTGGGTGGCGGAGCTGGGGCTCCTGCATGCCGCTCAGGGTTTGGGCTAGGCGCCGAGGCTGGGGCTCCCACACGCAGGTCGACGGAGCAGGGTCGCCACCGCCGGAGCCACGCATGCCACCGTGACAAGGCCACGCGCCAGCTGCCGGAGAAGGCCGGGTCGCGCGCCTGCGCAGGCCACCAGGGCCGCGCTCAGGGCTCGGAGCCGAGGCACCCGTGGACATGGTGTGGACCTGCGACATGGAAATCGCCTGTGCAGCCAAGGCGCGACCGGCACTGGATCCTCGCGGGGGAGGAGCAGAGGGAGGAGCGACCACCAAGGGGCGGCGGGGGTCCTCGCAGGAATAGAAGAAAAAAGAGTCGGTATCTTGATAATCAGTAGCAGGTGGGTATGGCCCAAAAACAGCTAAAAGTAGGGGAGAGATGTTTTGAGTTTTGTACTAGAGTAAAAGTAACTTTTGAACTAAAAAAGTTGTTGCTTTTCACCCTATTTATTGACTTTTGGCTTTTGCAAAAAGCAAAAGCAGGTTAGAAGACCCGACAAAGGGGCCTAAACCAAATTACAATTAACGAGATGGTCAGCTTGTTTTCTAGGTGCACATAATTCTCAATAGGAGACACTAGATATATAGTACTCCCACAGTTCCAAATTAAGTCGCTTTGATTTTTTTTTTTAAATAAATTTTGCTATGTATCTAGATATAACGTATGTCTAGATACATAGTGTTGGTTCCTTAAAGGCCAAATCTGATCGCCAAATAAGATAGAAAAAGAGGAGAACTAGCACGCCTTACTCACATATTTTATTTATATTAACAACTTTCCACATGTATTGGAGAATAAGTGTTTTGCACGATACATTTATGAAAACCACCAAAAATATGCTCGAAATGCGCAAAGAAACAAAGCGTAAAGCTATCCTATGTGAGCACTAAGGAGGAAAGGCCCGCCTACCTAACACAACTAGGCCCAAACACGCGCAAACGTGGCCCAGACCCAACACCTAACCCACCAGCACAAGGCGGTCGCGGGGAAGCGCCACCTGGGGTTTCGACCCTAGGGTCGCCCGACCCCTTGTCGGCACCACTGCCTGCCGACAGCCTACGCGTGGGCTGTGGCAGAACCACCCAAAATAACACGCTTCCTGGATGCGCTCGTCTTTCACTAGACACTAAGCACCTCAAAAGGGAGCTACATCGAACAGTTCCATCGAGCACACCCCAAGAGAGAACTCGAAACAATCCATGTTTATATCCATAATCCAATAATGAGTACGAGCTTATAATACTTAGTCCATTTCATACAACAAGAGTTCTTAGAAATTATTTATTACAATACCAGAGTTCAGAGTGCGATAATTAAACAGCGGAATGAAAATAAGCATCTAGCGAAAACGATACAATGATCCATCAGTGCTCACCAGAAGAATCCTCCACACAAGAGCTACTCCTCAAGCTGCACCTGCAACAGGGGTAAAATAAACTTTGAGTACACAATGTACTCATAAGACTTACCCAATTAGTGGAAATAATTTCCCGACTTCATGGAATATGATAGGCAATATGGGTTTTTTATTTTATTTTTGTTTGCGAAAAACTTTACTAATAGTTTATCCTTACAGTCAAGTTTTTTTAGTAGTCATGATTATTTCATTAGCTAACCATTCTAGGTAAGCACTTGTTCTATTTTCAAACAAGGGTTGAGCAATCAGAACTAATTTTTCATCTTTCATCTTGTAGTTTTTACTATGGTGCTAGACCATAGCCGAGTCATACCGTCTCATAAAAATGGCGATTCATGAACCAATGTATCCCAACTGGGTACCCCAAAACACACGCCCCGTTTGTACCCAAGGCACAAACAAGACCAACCAATTCTACTCTTGTCATGGGGTCTAGGTCCCCGTCCAAACTTAGACTCCAATCTCCCACACTTGAGATCCGGTCTCAGTATGGTGCTTAGACCTCCACCTA